GACAAAAACCCAATAAAACCTCCTATTTTGTTGTTGTTGCTGGTCATGGGACTTGAACTCAGGGCCTGAGTGCTGTTCTTGAGCTTTTATTCTCAAGACTAGTGCTCTAACTCTTTGAGCCACTTCTGTTTTTTAGGTAGCTAACTGGAGATAAGAGTCTCACTGTCTTTCCTGCCTAGGCTGGCTTTGAGCTGTGGTCTTCACTCAGATCTCAACCTCCTGAGTAGATAGGACAAAGGGTAGCTAGGAATAGAAAGATCACACCTGGCCTCAGTTTGTGAAACCTGCAAAGGTGAAGAAGAATCAATCTGGAACAGCCAGTCCTTTGGAGATGAGGAGTCTTTGAGAGCTCCAGGGAAGCGATTCTTCTCTTTCAATCACCTCCCAGCCTCAGCACTGCCCAGGGCCGAGCCCTGGAGTCTTTGGCTCCTGCTGTGGGTGGCAGTGAAGCCCATGCCCAGCCTGCCTCTGTACACAAACGCCTTTGGGATTACCTACTCACCCACCTACCATGTGGGAAATCCTTGAGTTCTAGGTTCTAGGAAAGCGAGAAAACATTCTTCTGGGCAGGCCAAAGAGCATTGAACTCCATGCTTTATCATTTGATCTAGAAGGTAATAAGCTACAATAAGCAAGGACAGAAGAGAAAAAAAAACAAAACAAGGCAAGGCCTTTTGCCCTGTGGTGCTTTTGGAGTGACTGCTGTGATGGTATAAAGGAGCCATGTACAGCCATTGGTGCAGGGGCCCCTTGGAAAGTTGCTCTCTCCCCCATTCCCTCCCAACTCCTCATGGGACTCTTCAGAGTTATATTTAGGGCCATTTTTGCAAAATACCTTTTGACCCACATGGCATGAGGAGGGCTGTGGTACTGGGTGTCCTTGCGAGCGGCCCTGCACGCCCAGAGTTCTTGAACTGAGTGTCTCTGGGGAATCCGTCAGAACACCAAATGAGCATTGATTGGTAACTGTGAAAATGCTGAGCAGCAAGGACAAAGATGGACTCAGAGGGTTGTCTGGCCCTTCTGGGAGGAACACGGCGTCCTCTGAGGGTCAGGATGCCTGTCCTCTCCGTGGGACGTGGGTGTCGGGATCTCTATCCACACACGCAGCATGATGCTCATGCCAGAAGTGCGGGCAATGGAGTTGTTTTCCTGGAGCCTGGCTGACAACCCTGAGCTGACATTCTAGAGACCAGATCTGGCTGGCAAGTACAGCTCACGTGGAGAGAGGCACCGGGGTGGTGAGCTAGACCTAAGATGCCTCTCCCTGTGAGTTAGAGGCAGATTTGTAGCACACTATAGACACGTTGGGGCTGTTATAATTACTAAAGAAATTCTGTTCACTCAGGAAGTTCTGATGATGACTTTGCATTATTTAATCATGCACCAATAGATGGGTGAGGGAGAGGTCAAACATCAGTCATGAGACATATTCAGGTAACTGCGGGATTCAGCATTTCCCAGAGTTCACTGGTCTACTGGCTACATGCTCTAAGCTCATAAGTAAGTCAAGAACCCATGTGCACAGACCTTGCATCCACTTCTGTGACCTGGGCAGCACAAACCTTACGTCTGTTGGATGGTGCAGGGGGTCGGATCACGGAGTCACATGGCTTCCCTGTGAATGGTTACACAAAGGCAGCTGCTGCAGGACCAAACACCTCAATTCCAACGAATGCTATTGATGTGAGGGCAGGGGCTGCTGGGCTTACCCCTCCTCTCCTTCACAGGCACCTCCACCCTGCCACACACCCAGCCTGCCCATCTGTTGCTCCAGAGGATGGCTTAGCGTAGGGAACTCTCCTGACCCGGGCCACTCTCTGGAGAGAAGCAGGGAGCAGAGCCCTGTCCTCCAGGGAGAACATTGCTCCAGCATGCCCCTTCACCTTAATCCAAAGCACTTCTTAGATTTCACTATCAGGGCTGCCCGTGGCTGACCCCCACGACGGATGAAGGACAGGCTAGGGCAGAGATAAAGGAACTGCCTGTACAAGCAAAGTGGACCCAGGAAGGGGTGGCCAGGAGTGAAGTCCTCCCTAGGCAGTGCTCCAGTTCATCCTGAGTTCTGCCTCTGTTTCCCTTGGGATCAGTGCTAATTAACGGGTGTCCCTTTGTGGCAGGCAGCGAAAGGCATTTTGAAGTTACACTATTGGTGCCCACACAGAAAGGAAAGTCTAAAAAGAAGACTCTGACTTCTCCTCAGTTGTCATGCTGATCAGATGACCCAGTGGCTGGCGAGTTAACCCAGCAGGGACAGAGGGCCCTGAGCCCAGGCCTGCTGCTTTAGATTTCCAAGGGCTTCTTTTGCCCAGGACTGAGCTGCTGTGTCTCTCTCCAGCTGTGCTGCAGCCCAGCGGGGCAGCTGGGATACGCTGTTCCTGCGCCCAGGAGATGCTTCCTAGAGCCTTGGGGGACTTGTGCAAAGCTTTGCAGGGGTGGGGGGCAGATCATTCATGTACTCATAAAGGGCTCAGCATCCCTCTTCCGTGGGATGACTATGGCAGTTCTTCCGAGTGAGCTACGGGACACACGAAGTACTGGAATACGTTATGGACAAGTGTTGGAATTGCTGGACACACATGTCCATCTGCTGATCCTAGGAGGCCTCCTAGGACTCAGGACTTCAAACCCATTAAGGGTCCAAACTTGCAGTGCTCCCTGAAGACGGTGCGTGGCTTCATGCACATAGGTAGTAACAGACAAGATGAGAGGAAAGGGGGGGGGGCATTAGATCAAGGAAAATTAAACCACTGGCAGGATGCTTCAGAAGTGCTTGAAAATCTTTATTATTATTATTGTAGCTGTACTGAGGATAGTGCTTAGTCTACCACCTGAGCCACACCCCAGCTCTTTCAGTTTTAGATTGTCTTTCAGATAGGGTCTCTCAATACCTTTGCAAGGGCTGGAGTCAGATGCAAAACTCCATCTCCCTCTAGAAACAGGATCAATCCCTTCAGCTGGGATTAATGTACCTCCCTGCTCAGCTGGCCTAAGTAATCTGTCTTCTGCCTCTGTTTGGTTGCAGGCCTCTACTCCAGGTGCAGCTTTTAAACATCTTTGAGTCAAGCATTACCACAAGCCCGGGAAGAGATGCAGCACTAAGCCGGCCTCACCCAGAAACAGACTCCCAGCTGGCCATGGAGCCAGTGGCTCATGCTTGTAATCCTAGTTACCCAGGGAGCTGACATCTGAGGCAGAAATGTGACAAGACTCTTATCTCCAGTTAACCTGCAAAAGTCCCAAATGGAGCTGTTGGGGAGGGGGGTGGAGAGGAAAACCTGGGAGAAAACAAGGGAAGAGGTGACACTTCAAAATGTACCCATTCCCTGCCCTATGTAACTGTAGCCCCTCTGGGCCTCATCTTTACAATAAAGTATTTTAAAAAAGAGGAAAAAAAAAGTAGAACTCTGACTCAAGCGGCAGAGGGCCAGCCTGGAGTGAGAAAGCTCAGGGACAGGGCCCAGCCCTGAGGTTGAGCGCCAGTTCTGGTGTGTGGGTACACACACACACACACACACACGCGCGCGCGTGCGCGCGCGCGCACACACACACACACACACACACACACGAGCAACGACACGACTTCCCCCTTCTGACATTGAAGTGAGGACGGATCTGGAGGGAGGGCAGGACCCCTGGCCATTTGCGCTGCATTCCATGTCCCTTCCTGCTTCTGACCCGCATCTTGGGAAGCAACACACTTGTAAAGAATTCCCTTAGGAAGGAACCCCCCGGGGGGGCTGTGGACCCCTGGCATGTCCCATCTCCCCGGAGCGGGTGCTGGGGACTGGAGGTCCTTCCCGCCCGGCTTCGTTCCGATGGTCAGCGGAGGAGGCAGGGCACCCCACCCAGAGCCCCGGTGCCAGGCCGGCGGGGACTCGGATGGAGCGCGCCTGCAGGGGAGGGGAGCGAAGGGCCGATGCCCGTGGGCAGCCGCGGTGACACGGGCTCGGAACTCCAGGACGCGGGGCGGACACCTCGGCGCCCCTCTGCGGCTGGGGAGGCGGCACGTGGACCCCGGCCCTGGGCTTCCGGCCCACGCCCACCCTCGCCGCCCGCAGTCCCCGCCGCCCCGCGGCTCCAGACGTGCGTGGCGCAAGTCCTGGCGCAGGGGAGGGCGAATCCCACTCCCGCACCCCGGTGGGGGGCGGGCGCGACCCCGCAGAGCCCCCTGATGAGCCGGCGTTGCGGCTCTGCGGCGGGCAACCCGGGGCCTGTGCGTGCGCGTTTCGGGGTGGGTCGGGCCTACACCGACGCTGCGACAAGAGATGGACCCGGAATCGGCTCCGGTGGGACCCGGAGCCGGGTCGGCTGCGCGGCGGCCCGGGCACGGCGGGGCCGGGCAGCGACGCCGCACGCCGCGCACTTCCTGTGCAACGCGCGCCGCCTCCCACCGCCCGCGAGCCCCGGGCCGGCGCCAGGCCCGGCCCCCGCGGCCCCCGCGAGCGGCTGGGGGCGGGGCCCTGCCCTGCGCGCCCCGCGGGGCTCGGGGCCGCCGGGCCGCCGCCCGGACTCGTGCCCGCAGCCCCGCCGCAGCCAGCCGCCCGCCATCCCTCCGGCCGGGGAGGCGGCGGCCCGGCCCCGGCCCCGGCTCCCGGCGGCTCGATTCCGGGCCCAGGCGCCTATCCCGGCGCGCGGGCGGCCCGGGAGGCCCTGCCGGGCAGGAGTCGTGGGGCAGATCCGGGCGGCGAACCGCACCTGCCGGGCGCAGCACCGCGGGGAGGCCGGGGGCGGAGCCGCGCGCCAGGCGAGCGTGGCCGCGCGCCGCCCGGGGAGGAAAACTTTGTGGCCCGGCCGGGGAGCTCGGCCGCGCGGGCGCGGGCGCGGGTGCGGCGCGGGCGGGGGACCGCCTGAGCCCCGCGGGCTCGAGTCGGGGAGGGCGGACGCCCCGCGCCGGTCCCCGCCGGGCGCCGCACGCGTCCCGGCCCCGCCTCCTGCCCGAGCCCCCGCGAGGTGTCTCCGGGCTGGCACGGCCGGGGCGGGGTGGGGGGCAAAGAGCGCGCGGCTCCCGCCCAACGGCAGCGGCAGGGGCGGCGAAGGGGACCGAACCCCGAGGGCGAGGCGCCGGCACCCGCTGCCGGCGAAAGTTATGGGAAGCGCGACCATGGACGCCAAGAAGAAGAAAGAGGCCGGCGGCCCTGGCGGGAGCGGCGGGAAGAAGAACCCCGGCCCGAAGCGGCGGTCGCTGCGGGTGCACATCCCGGTGAGTCTGGGCCGACGCCCAGGCGGTTGACGCGGGCGCCCCGCGCGGGGATCTCGGGGCGCCTGCCGTGGGAGGGGGAGCGCACCGACGGGGGCCGAGTTGGGCGTCGGAGCTGAAGCTGGATGTCGTCCCCCACCCGCGTGCGGCCGGGGTTCGGGCGTCCCGGGTCGGCCGGGGCTGCCGCGGCGGAGCGGGACGCGCGGCGGGGCGCAGCCGGGGTCCCGCGGGTGCGGGCGCGGGCGCGGGGCGGCGTGTTTTGCTTTGTTTTGCCGAGCAGGGCCGGCGGCGGGGTTGGGGTTGGCGGGACGGGGCTGGGGGAGTCGGGTAGCTGCGCCCCGAATGCGTCTCCGTCTCCAGCAGTTCGCGGGACGCGTCGGGCTCGCGCGCGGGCCGGGGGGCTCCTCCCTGGGGCTCTGTGCTCTCTGGGGCTAGGGGCGAACTTCAGCCTCGGCCACGCCAGCAGTCTGGGCTGGACTTTGGCGACGCAGATCGATCGGTGTGTGCGGTGGAGCTGGTCCGGCGGGGCAGGAGGAGCGGGGCGGGGTCGTGCGCCCCCCCTTCCCGTCCCCCACAGGCCGGAGGCCCGGTCCTCACCCCGGAGGGCTAGGTGGTGCAGGAGGCCCCCTCCGGGCCGCACACGTGCCATGGGGCCAAGTGGGGTGCGCTGTGATCCCCACATCCTCCCAGGGTGGGACCCTTCCCTGGCAGGGACGCCGGACGCATTCTCTCTGCGCTCTGCCAGCAAAGCCCAGGCCGTCCCGCTCCCCCCAACCCCCCCGGGGTGCGGACCCGAGCTTCGGAGGGAGGTGAACCCCTCACACGTCTGATGGTTGCCTGGAGGAGCAGCCTGAAGTTGGGGATCTCTCCCTCACCCTGGAAGCCCAGGGACGCTGGGCTGTGTGGTCACCATGAGCATTACCCAAATACGGCGACCAGGGTTTTATTTGGAAAAAAAAATCCTGATTACATCACTGATAGGTGACATTTAAACCGAATTTATGCATTGAAAATGAGGCATTGCTTCCAAAATCTGTAATCACCAGCCAGCCACCTGTCCTGCTTGTTACCTGGAGAAATAACGTCCCTGGCCGGCCTGCTTTACAGGGCTACTGAAATAAAATGATTTAGGTAAAGCTCTTTACAACGGAAAGTGTGGCTATTACCTACAGGTTAGAGTGTCTCATTTGAAAAGGGAGGGAGGGGACGGGAATGTGACATTGTCCAGTGAGTGGGCAATGCTTAGGAAAGCCTGATCCAAGTGCTGTGTGTGTGCGCACACACTTCTGGGGGCAGTGCCAGTGGAAATGGTAAAATTCAGAACCAGTTAAGGGACAGAGAGGTCACATTGAACGTGGGAAGCACCAGCTGTGGGTGGGATGCTCTGACCACTCAGCGTGACCCAGCCCTCTGCCCAAAGGGTCGTCACTCAGTTGTTCCACAGTGGTTATCCGGGTGTGTCCATGTGCCGGACTTCTGTCCTCCCCCGCCTCGGTTGCTGGTGGGATGAGTGGGCTGCTTCATCTACTCATTCTTTCCCATTGGTCACGGGGCCAGGAGAGGAGAGAGTTTAAACCTGGCTGGAAAAGTAAGGATTCTAAGTGTGGGCTAACCAGTGATCCCAGGCCATTTGCTGACCAGGGCGGACAGCAGCAGTATGGAGGGTTAGGAGGGAGAGCTATGGTCCAAGTGTACAGAGGAACTCAACACCCAGAGGGAGCGATGCAGTGGCCGCCTCCAGAGCGGGGAAAGCCATGTCCTGTGAAGGGAGTAAGGACAGAGGTCCTAGGGAGGACTGGAGACCAGACCAAGCAGGCCTTGGAAACAGGGTTGGCAGACATGATACAACATGTCCCGTTAAAGTGGGATTTCAGATAAGAATAGGACCCTGGGCGTTCTGTTCCTTAGGCCCATGTTTAAGTTCACCTGAGTTTCTCTCTGCCTCAAGTTCCCTGGGCATGGTGGCTTGCTGGGCTTAGTGCAGGGCCCCGGAGCAGCTAGTCTAGTGCCCTGAGAGCTCTCCACCATGGGTGACGTGGTTGGTGTAGCTGGCAGCCATGAGCCCCATTTTGGGAGGCATAGTTGTGTTCAGAGTGCACCTGCTGACTTTCCTGGCCTCCTGGATCCACACACCCCACTGGGCTGCTGGCGGTGCCTGACTTAAGCTATGGAGTCTAAACTTAGACGCCATGAATAGATGATGCAATAATGTTCCAGAAAAGCCATTTGGACTCAGGGCAGAGTGGCATGTAAGGGCCTTGATGGTGTGCTGATGAGCTGACCTCAAGCCATGTGGGGTGAAGGCCTGCGGGCCCATAGGGAGGGCAGGGGCTGGGGAGGAAGGGCGAGGGGACGCCTGGAACAGCAGGTCTGCTGCTGTCTGGGGTCAGAAACAGTCTGGAGGCATGGTATGAGGGGAAACCAGGGCTTCCTCACACCCATGTGTGTTTGTGCTGAGGGCTACACACACACCCAGGAGGATCCACATCTGCTTCCTCATGCCTGAGTTGGGAGACAGTGGTGTCCGAGCATGGTTCGGATTCCAAGGAGTCGCTCCGAAACATGTTGGGACTGGAAGGTGTGGTCACTTGGTGCCATCCAGGGCCTCCGGTGTTGAGTAGCTTGTCTGTTTGTCCAGCTGGACCTTGGCTGCCGTCTCTAGCATGCAGCAGAGCAGTGGCTTGTGGAGTTGGGAAATGGCTGCGTAGCTCTGGGCTCTGATCAGTTTGCCTGTTGCCCTGGTTATTCTCTTTGCTCCAGTGGCAGCGGGGCTGTAGCTGGCCAGAGACTACAGCTGCTCAATCACTTCTAAACTGCACAGGACCGACCGCTGGGCACTGAGGATGGGAAAACGGCCCCTGGGTCAGGATGCATTGGCTGATGTCTTGCAGGCTAAACATCAGCCTCTTCCTACGCCAGCATGGGTTGCTCCGTGGGCAGAGCACGGAGGCTCGTTGAGGTCAAGTGGTGCTGGGCCTGGACCGGAGCCAGCGCTTCAGTGATGGGCACCGTGGCACGCCCGTGCCCTGCCTCCGCTTTTTTTTTCCCCCTGGTATAAATGAGCAATAATGGCAGCATTGCGGGCGATGGGAATGACTTTAGCTAATTCACTGGAACAGTGGCTGTGGGTGGCATCCAGCTTTGAGAGCAAGCGTACATTTTTCCCCCGTCTGGGAAAAGGCAGCCTCCCTGTGAAAGCTAAAATCCCTGGTCTTGTGGACATGCTGTAGTCAAGTTACTATTGGATGCCAGGTTGTAGGTCTTGGTACTGCCTGAAAGCTGGGGGCAGGGCTGGCAGCCAGGGGAGGAGGGAGGGAGGGCATCAGGAAAAGGACCCGAGCGAAGCAGGGGCTTGTGGGGACACTGAGGCAGCCAGGGTCCGATCCTTCACCACTGGCTAGGACACTGGTGATAGACTGCATGTACGCTTGGCTCTCTTGGGAGAAAGGCTCCAGAAATCTTTCCAGATGTTAGGCTCACTGGAGACAGAGTAGAATGAGAGCCCCGCAAGCAGAAGGTGTGAAGCCATGACTGTTCTCACGTCGCCTCTGCCTATACATGGCCACCGGGAGCCTCACTCCGAAGCGGAGATGCCCACCTCTGTGTGGGTGAGGTGTCCGTGGCTGCCGGTGGAGCCGTGTGGTGTTGTGTTTCCTGCCTGCCCCTTACCCCATGGGAACACCCTGGACTGGAGTTCTAGGGAAAGGAAAGGCGGTGATGTTAGCATAGAGCTGTGAGCCTTGACCTTGGCCTTGGCTAGTTTGGATCTTGAGCCTTTAATTAGTTTGGGTTAGCCTAATTTAGGCAGTGTTTTTCCATTGTTTTTCACTGTTCTTGGAGCAGCTTAAGTAATGTGTGTTAAAAAAAAAAAAAAAGTAAAATGTTAAATGTTTAAAATGTGAAATCCTAGATCTCAGCCTAGACCTATGGGATCAAAATTTCTTAAAACAATTTTAATCTTTAAATAGTTGTGCAACTGAATGAGAATGTGAGGGAGAGACCCACGGCTCTGTCCTGACTGGTGTTTGGAACATGTGATTTCCAGTTTCCCCCTGCTAGTGCCTCGTCCACTTCTTCTGTTTCTGTGCGTTATTCCTTTTTTTTGTGTCTATTCATCCATCCATTATCCATCCATCACTTATCTATCTGCCTATCTACCTATTTGTCTACCCTACCTATCATCTCTCCGTCTTCTAACCATCATCTGTACTTTTCTAGCTGTCGGTCAAAGGAGGTCTGCTTGGCTACAGACTTCTCAACAAAGGCAGGCTATTTCTGGCTTCCACATAAAGACAGATTCTCAGTTTGGCCTCCAAACAGAGTAGCTCAAGTGGCGTGAGCCTGTTAGGCCACACTGGAAGGGTTCTGGACCCAGCTCTTCAGTATCTTGTGTCCCCATGACTCTTGTCAGGCCCAGAGTATACTCTCGGGACCTCTGGGAGCCCGGCTGCTTGGTGTTGAGCCGCAGGGCTGTTCTGAGCTCTGGTTCACAGATGCAGCATGGACACTACTTCTCCTTGGGAACATGAAGAGGCTGAGCCGGCGTGGTGTGGAGTGGTGCCAGAGCTTGGGCAGAGCGCTCTGGTGGAGGGCACAGGCCAGGAGGGAAAGGGCTGCTAACGAGCCACTGTGATTCCCTCCTTCCACGCTACCACAGCAGGCAGCCTGGACCTCCTCTGGCTGGACATGGGAGAGTAGCACAGAGCACATGCAAAGCCATGGGTTTGCGGAATCCCACACTTGTGGGGTGGTCACAGATGACCATTCATGAAGGTGCACATGCAGTGTGCGCCCTTGCTCTGCTTTCCATGCATGGGAGCCTGGTGGTGGGAAGGCTGCCCACCGGTGAGTGCAGACACTTGATCCTGCGGCCATCTCTGTGCTGAGGCTCCCGGAGGGCTGGCCTCTGGTCTGCCAGGCAGCCAGGCAGCCGTCTTCCCTGCTTGTTTGCTTTGCATGGCTTTCCTCCCCGGGTCCCATCTTTCCTGGCCAGAATCTCCCCT